GTGGGGGTGGGGGGTGGGGGGTGGGCACAAGGGGTGAAGGGAGTCATATATGTGGTGATGGACAAACAAAAATGTACAACCCAAAATTTCACAATGTTAGAAACCATTAAAACATCAATAAAAAAAAAATAAATAAAAAAAATAAAAAAAAAAATCAATGAGTGTTGTTTTCTGTTATCAAAAAGTGTTCTCCAGATGCCTCTTCACGTTTTAAGGTCACGTTGAAAAGCTCTCGACTTGTCGCACCACCTCATCATTTCCAAACACTCCAACCTCTGCTGTCAGTTACTGTACAGAAGAAGCCATTGCAGAGCCGTGAAGTGAGACGAGAATGCTGCAGTGTGCACAGGCAGTCGAGGGTTCTGCCCAGTGCATGGGCCAGCGGGCCAGCAGGACGTTCTCCATCAGGGAAACCACCGGGGCAGTTTCCATGATGTTCTGCTTTCCTGACGAGCACAGGTCTCCACCTGGAGGTGACGCAGAATGAATCCCTTTTCTCTATTGACGTGCTCATCCATATGTGAAAAATAATCTCACCTTTAATTTCTTAGAACTCACTGCATACATTTCCCTTGTATGTGTTTATGAATCTGCATGTATAAAATAGAGGGACTCTAAAAGTTGACTGCTTTGAACACAAAAGACATTTCTTTTTATGGAAATTTAGCCAACAGCAGTTAGAGTCCCAGCGGAACACACCTGAACCCCTTAGAGGTAATGTTATTGGTGCTATTCAGAAGCCTGTTCTCAGGGGCGTGAATTCATCATGTAGGAAGAAGGCAGTGAAGATGGAAGGGAAGAGTCACCCACCACATGGATATTAATTGAGCAGCTCCTGTGTGCCAAGCACAGGACTGGGCCCTGGAGGAATGGTGGTGAGGAAACCAGGCAAAGGTCCTGCCCACCTGGAACTTGCAGTGTGGTGGGTGACAGATGTTATGTAGGTGTGTGCACAAATAAAATATAATTACAAACCATGATACGCGCAGTGGAGGAAAAGGACAGGATGCCTAAAGAGCTGAGAAGAGTCTGTTTTGCTCATCATCATATTCCTTCTCTTAGCCTGGCACATAGTAGGTACAAAAAATAATTGGTGAATGAATGAATGTTCTGGCTCGGTAGTTCTCAAAGTTGAGCATGCATCAGAATCATCCAAAGGGCTTGTGTATTAGTCATCTAATGCTGCGAAGCAAATTACCCCAAAACTTAGATACTGAAAAGAACAGTAAGCATGTGTTATCTCACACAGTTTCTGTGGGCCAGTAATCTGGGAGCAGATTGGCCGAATGATTCGGCTCAGTGTCTCTCAGGTTTCAGTTGAGCTGTCTAGACTCTGGCTAGCTGATCTGCTTCCAAGGTGATGGCTCATTTCCATGGCTATTGGCCCGAGGCCTCAGCTCCCTCCACCTCCAGCTCCTCACCACGTGGACCTCTCCCTAGGGCTGTTTGTCCTCAATATGGCAGCTGGCTTCCCCAGAGCAAGGGATCCAAGAGAGAGAGCAAGGAGGAGACCACAATACTTACTATGGTATCATAAACGTGATTCTGAGAACCACTCTTCTAGCTTCTTAGAATCTTAAAGTTGGAGGAAACTTGAGAAATCTGGTCCACAGGTTCTGTAGTCATGGATGTGCTATCTGGGTTTTATGCTTTTGGCCCAGTAGGGGAACACAGGATTCTTTCTAAGATTTCACTTTCCCTCAGTTCCTTATTTAATGCAATACTTAAACATAGTTGGAATAATATTTTTATTTGTGCTTAGTTAAAATACTATATTACTAAAAAGACAGCTTGTCTTTTGAAACTTTGTAGCGTTAAATCCTGTATTCCAGAATTATTAGATTTTTAACTACAAATACATTATTCTTTTTGTTTCTTCGAAGACATAGCTATAAAATTTACTCCCATCATTACTAATGGAATCATTTTTTATGTCTTAAAAACTTATTGTGAAATGACATACATAACAGTTGACTGTAAATGTCCTTCTTAAAAGTGGATTTTTGGGGGCCGGCCCGGTGGCGCAAGCGGTTGGGTGCGCGCGCTCCACTTCGGCGGCCCGGGGTTCGCAGGTTCGGGTCCCGGGCGCACACTGACACACGCCTGGTAAGCCATGCTGTGGCGGCGTC